TCAGTAAATCAGGGTGTTAAAATCCTGGCACTTTGACACCAAATTCGAAATTAGCGTCTCAAAAAACGTCAGTTATAAAATTTTCGTGATCTTTCGGTAATTATCCGACTTATTTCTTCCTATTTTTGAGTTTTAGACCATACACTGGAAAAAATACACATTGGATCTAGAGTCCAGACTCTTGAAAACATTGACAAGAAAAAATACTCTTGATTCAATCGGATTTTTGCTTGAATCAAAACGAAACCCGTTTAAATTAAGAGGCTTGGTTCTTGATTTAAGCTAGATTCCGATTGAATCAAGAGTACTTTTTCTTGTCGATGTTTTTAAGAGTCTGGACTCTGGATCCAATTTGTTTTTTTTTTTTTTTTTCCAGTGTGCGTATAGTATGTTACTGTAAAATTCGGCAAAATCGCCGACTCATTTTCACCAAAATCGTCAGTTAGGCATTACTGCTCGCTAGCCCTCGAAACGCAGCGCACTAATTTCGAATCGATATCGAAATCACCGCAAACGGAGCGGCGAGGCGATTCCGTTTAGATTGAGAGGCTTGGTTTTTGATTTAAGTTAGATTCTGATTGAATCAAGAGTAATTTTTCTTGTCGAGGTTTTTAAGAGTCTGGACACTAGATCCAATTTGTTTTTTTCCAGTGTGCGTATAGTATGATACTGTAAAATTCAGCAAACCCAACTCATTTTCACCAAAATCGTCAGTTAGGCGTTACTGTTGGCTAGCCCTCGAAACGCAGCGCACTAATTTCGAATCAATTTGGAAAACACCGCAAACGGAGCGGCGAGGCAATTCCGTTTAAATTAAGAGGCTTGGTTCTCGATTTAAGCTAGATTCTGATTGAATCACGAGTACCTTTTCTTGTCGATGTTTTTAAGAGTCTGGACTCTAGATCCAATTTGTTTTTTTTTTTTTTTACAGTGTGCGTATAGTACGATACCGTAAAATTCGGCAAAATCTCCGACTCATTTTCACCAAAATCGTCAAGTTAGGCGTTACCGTTGGCTAGCCCTCGAAACGCAGCGCACTAATTTCGAATCAATTTGGAAAACACCGCAAACGGAGCGGCGAGGCAATTTCCCGCCACTTACTCGCCGCGAGTACACGGGATCGGAAGCCTCGAAACAAGGTTCGCCGTAAGAGGTTAAAGGAGAGGGCGCACTGATCTATTAATTCGGTGCCCGCTCGCTCTCGTTCTGGCTCTCGGATGGGACTGAGATTTCCGGGACAGTAATTAATATCGCTTTGAGAGGAGATCCCGGGCCGCGCGGGAGTTGCCAAGCGGGTCGCCTACCACTCCCGGCGCGCGGCGCGCGGAGCCCGGGGACCCGGCGTAATCGGCGGGAGTACCTGCTGTGTCAATATTGATCTTTGCACGACGAATTGAGCGCGGAAGACGACGATCGAGTGCCGCGGTCGTCGGTCCCCGGTCGCCTCCGTCGGAGCGGCTAATTTTTCAGCGGCGGCACCGTCGCTTACGTAATCGCTCACGAGTAGCGACACCGCCAACAGGAGCGCCAAGCGAGCCGCATCCAGTCGCGCCGGGGCCGCAATAAAGCCCTGCCCAGCCCCGATCCCCCGATTCCCGGCTAGGATTGATTCATTTTATTCCCCTCGTCCCCCATCCTTCACCCGGAGACAGCCGGAACCTCATTCCGTTCCGGGTTCCGCTGGAATTTTTGAGGGTTTTCTTTCCCGCGTCCAATCTTCCCTCTGTTCGCTCGTCTTGTTAGGCGTGGCGCGATGCAGAATGAAGAAACAGTTGTGGCGCGGTGGATCGGGCATCGGCGGATCCAAGAAGGGCGGCCTACGCCCCCCCCCTTCCCCTCCAAAAAAGAGGAGAAAAAGGGAAGAAAGAAAGAAGGTAGAAACGGAAGAAAGAAGGAGGAAGATCGCTTATAATTAGTTATTATTCGTGACGAATTGAATTTCATGTGAGTAAAGGATGCTTTAAAATTTCGACAAGTTTCTAGAGAAAGCCCCCCGGAATCCCCCCTTCCGCTCCACCCGTTGGAGGGGTTTGGATCCGTCTATGACTGCGAGGGAGCAAAAATTTGGGGGAAGGGGGGGGGGCAAAGGAAGTCTAGGGGTTACTCAGGAAAATGTTCATACTAAGGTACCTTTTCCGTAGAATGCAGTTTTCTGTTCCTCTACGGTAAAAAGATTTTGGTTTGCAAATGCGACAGGATCTGTGAAAAGAGACTTTATCTTCAAAAAATCCACAATCGAGGTAAAGCATCACTGCAAAAAGGAGAAAAATATGGACGTTTTCACGCAATTATGACCCTGAAAGCTCAAAACTCGAGGAAAATATGACGTCTGGAAGTTCAAAAACAAAAAGTCGGAATTTTTGGGTTTCACAGTTTTAGATTTAATTTAGGTTGGCGCTCTCTGACTTGCGCCATGTAAAGAGGCGGCTAGCGCCCTCTGTGGTGACAAAAATTAAAACTGAAAATCGCCAATTTTGACTTTTTCCCCAAAATTCGGCTCTCCTAGAAAGTTTGTCCTCGGAACATACGGTACCTTTTCACAGAACCTGTCGCAAAGAATGATGATCAGAAGACCATTCATTAAGTTAGGCGTATTTTGTTCTTAATAATAAAAAAAATGCGGATAGAAAATATCTAATGACATCTACGCAAATTAGGCACAATCTCATATTTTATGCATACCCAAAATTTTTCAAATCGAGCGAACGGATCGGATTAATTTCCCACGACGCAGTCTAATGTGCATTTTCCGCTACCTCTAGGTGCACGATGACTTAGATGAATTAAGTTCCAAAGTTGCTCATGCATGAGAGGTTATGTCCATTAGGAAAGGAAAAATGCATTATTTTAATGTGGAACCAATGTCTTAACGCAGATAACATTGATAAACACACTTTTACTCGTGGTTGAGTCAATGAGCCAGAAACAATGGTTCCTTATTGCAAATCGTAATCCAATTGAAAAGTCCGAGTGAGGCGAGAAAAGGGTGAGGACTGAGCAGGGAACACTGCACTCGCAAAAAAACCCCAAACATCTACTAAACTTAGTAACCATGTGTGTGCGCTTGTAGGTTCCCCTGTAAACATCTCATTTGTTTAATGCACATCTTGCTTGAACACGGTTTAGAAATAGGTCAAATCTGCAGAAAAGACGAGGAAAAATCTGTCTTTCCCAGTGACGATGCGTGAATGATCGATTATCGATATTTTCCCATTTGAGCCTGTGGTAAAGAATCGATTATTAAGGTGTTCGTTGCGAACACCCTGCATATCGATCCTTTTCCATATGCTTAAATGGTAGATCAATCGATATATCGCAAAAGCACGCCACGCCTTTGGTCTCCTCTCAAGTCGTCCGTCGAGGTTATTTCAATTGTAATCCTCCAATGTGCCAATCTTTCCTCAAGGTTCTTTGTATAGGTTGTATGTAAAACTATCGCAAACCCAGGTTCCATACAACTATATTAAATCCAACTCCATCTGCTAAAGTTTTGTTTGCCCCCTCGTAAAAACCCCCAATGGAGATATAACTGAATTGCTTGAGGCTTTCACTGTTTAGATGTGGCGCAAGTGCGGAATAAAGCGATAATAATGATAGAGATACTAATGATTCCCAGTAAATGCAATAGCCGGTACCAGATGTTTAGTTATTTTGACTATACGTTTGATTACGCTTCCAGACGCAAGATTATAACGCTGGTAGACACCACTAAAAATCTATAGGTAGAATTCTGGTGACTAATCTCTACACGTATGCAGGTGAAAGACTCTGTTCTTCACGCTGACATTTAAATGCCGCGAGCCAATAGTCAAATAAATGATTGGTTGAATGCCTGCGCATTTGGAACAATTTTTGCGATACATTTAATTGCTAACTTTTCTTCGGTCCTACGAAGTATTCAGCTCTGACTATAAACATGAATTATGATAATACATGAGATTCTTAAAAAAATTCATAAAAACAGATTGATGAGCTGAATTTGTTAATAAGATCAAATTAGCTAGAGAGGAGAATATTTGACACCGACTCGCGTAGTGGAAATACTAATCTTCGGAATTTGTTGGAAAGTACACTAGCCTGGACGGTCCGTTCAGGTAGCTTACACCGCCCACTAAGTCAGAGGCTGGATTGAGTTTCATCGGAAGCGCGAATTAACTTCCCTTGAGTTTACTTGCGTAGCATTGTTTTGTTTGATTCAATGTGGCTCCAGATATGATTTCCAGTTTTTCAAAAGCTTCATGAATGAGTTTTTCTCGGAAATATTCCGTGGGAAGGAAACGACCCAACAAATTGAAAGACTTTTAGCTCTTTTATACAGAGTGAAGAAAAGCATCTTGAAAGAGGAAGTTCATAAAATAGAAATGAAAATTCCCTAACAGTCGAGATGGAGTATGAAATTTTGGTGCACAAGTTCGTTCATAGAACGGCATAGAGGACTTCGCCGAAATGAAAGCCATTCTTCTTTGCTGTCGGCTTTGGTGTATTTTAATGTTGCCGAAAACATCACAGTATTTTGCGACAGAAACCTCAAATTTCATTTTTTCTTATCCCTATTTTAAAAGACACCTTTAAAATTGGAATTGTGATTAAAATCCATGTATGTAAACATGTAGCTTCATAGCTGTTTCTGGCTAAGTGCCTAAAGACGTATTTTGCTATGTATACAAGTAGGACTTGATTGAAAAAGTGTCCACCATTCACCTAGCTTTCAGAGTTACTTACAGAAATGTGTTCGAGTATTGATAAGGAAATCAGATTTCTCATTCTTCAAAAGGAGATGAGTTACGAAATTTTGAGAAGCTCAAAATTCTACAGGTGATTGAAAATGACAAGCATGTTATCCATAATGAACTAATTTATCGTGCATTTCAACAAAACGTGCGATACATGTTAAACAGTAATTTTCAGCCAAAACTTGACTGTAATAAGACTCGGATATTCAACGTGACAACTGTGCCAAAAGGTGACCCAAAAAAACTATCCACAAATTCCAAACTGACCTTTATGTAAAAATAATGGAAGCATTAAGACAGTCCAGATTGCCAAGTTGCAAGCCGCCAAAGAGGCCGAACATTCGCATCACACGTTCCTTGGTGGATCCGCCCACTGAAAATAAAAAAGGAGGTTGTCAAATGTAATGAAAAAAAAGTGACGCCATTCACTTATATGCCAATTTAATTAGTTGGACGAACCTGAAGGATATACTTCCGTGCTTAACATTGTAGACAATTTAGGTTCAAAATTTCGGTTCTTGAAAACCCATAAACAGTTAAAGGCTTCGATTGGAGTGTACGCAGTTGAAATACAAATATATACCTCTCGCTGAGACAAATTTTTTAAACTGTCTGCTAAGAAATAGTCTTTCCTTGGACCAAGAGTGCTGCTGTTTAATTTAAACTACTTTTCTACCTAACCCAAGCATTGTATAATTGTTTCTGTTGAAGTTCTGCTTGAATCAAGGTAAAAATAACTTTTGGCGGCAAATTTCAGATTAATCAAACTTCAGCTTGTCACTTTTTTCAGTGCATCTATTCAACATACAGTCCAATTGGAAACCTTGATTTCAATCGTTTCTTAAGATTGTTACGAGAGTCAACAGTCACTGACATTTGATTACTTTCAGGGTAAATTTCATCAATCAAAATTTTACTGCATGTACCAGAATGGAGTCATTACCCATAAGGCAAAAGGTTATGTACTATACATAGTATATGTTACATCCGGAGACCCGAACGGCTGGAAAGGGCGCATCTGGTGCCTAGAAACGCCTAATAAACAGAGTCTACGGAGTGCCAGGTGCCACTTACGCAAGCCTTTTAACTATGTTTTGATTACTAAACATTCACGATGAGCAAGAAATAATGAAATCTTCCTAGGCACGGCATTTTTAAGTTCAAAATTGATGGGAATATCGCTCATCAGAAGACAGCGTCCACTGACACCAAAGTGATACATTTGAACGTATTTCTGCCAAACGGAACTGTGTGCATTATGACGTGAGCCCTGTTATGCGTATATTCTTATGGGTCCCAGGCCCAGGGCTCATGTCATAATGCACATAGATCCGTTTGGCAGAAATACGTCCATCATTTCATGCTTACTAGTAATACCAATTCATCAATCAATACGAGAGTACACATTTCGTGCGCCTCCGATGAAGCCAAAATGAAAGACGAAGAAACAGACGGAGGCGAATGACGTCAAACACCTTGTTTTTTTCAGAATGAATTTTTGATTTATATGCATTACCTATGATGATAAACGCTTTTTGGGGAAAACACCAATCAGTTGTTGAGCTTGAACTGAAAATTTTGGTCCCGTGGTACGGAAATTTGACTGAGGCCCTGTTTTCTCGTCAGAAACAAAATATTTCGTAGACAACGCACTGACGGCTTCCACTGTGTGTAAAAGTTCATTTTGGTGAGAGACTCACATTTTAACTTTTCGATGACTAATGGACGATATATTGAGCAATTTGTTTAAGAAACATCTTGCAGTTCGGCAAACTTCTCAGCGAGATCTCATATTAATTACTCGTGCACTCAAGTATTCAACAAATTATCTAAAACGATTCAACTTTATTTAAAAAAAAAAAAAAAAAAAAAAAAAAAAAAAACTCAGACTTTACAGTATTTTTCCTTCTTCTAGGACCTTCTTAATTGAGAAGAATTTTTGTAGCCTGCATGAATTCCTGGAAAATAAGTGCGAAACTGACGCTTCATTTCAGTAAAAATTCATACACGACGTAATGTGATGTATATAACGTGATGTTTCGTGTAACTTGACCTGTACCGTAGTCAAATTGTTTTGACTGATTCTGTACTAAATTGAGGAAATAAAACAAAGTAAATAAATAAATTTTGTACTTTTGCGAAGAAATTTAGTTATAACAAAAAAATCAATCGATTACGAACTTTATAGCCACCTGGCAATCGCAGCTTTTGCCTTGCTGATAACTTCTGAGGTCTACAATTACAAGATCGACGGACAGCTACACGATATGTGGCAACGACAAATGGGACGGGCGATCGATTTTGACAGAGTTCATCGATACATATGATCAGATTAATTTAACACTCCGCAACAATAATTTGGCTACCATATTGATTGCAAAATCTCTTGCATTGTTGTCATCCACCCCGAATATTTCATGTATGGTTGGTTGGTAGATACGTTCATTTGATGCTTTTAACAATTTAGCCATTAACAGCTTAGAGGAGAGATCAAAGAAATCGGGGAGCTAAACTTTTTGAAGACCCTGCGTTGTTAATGCTACTCGAATAATTAAAATTATTCGTGGAAAACTTTTGAACCAAATTCAGTTCGATAATTGTGTTATTTTTGATTTCAGATAACTTGAGTCCAGAAGAAAAAGAACTCCTTCAGAAATATTTATCTTGGATAGAGGAACATTCCGAACCCATATGTGATGCTATTACTGCTTTTGATGCTACATGTCGTTTAAGATTGCAACAATTTATCAATGGTACAGGAGTCAAATCCATTTTGAGCTATTTGCAGAAATATCCTATTCTTACTACACTAGATGGCCTTAACTTTGTAAGTTTGGAAGTTTAACTCCACCAACGAGATTAATAGAGCTGTTGAAACTTTCTTAAAGAACATCAGGCAAGAAGAATTCGAAAAAACATGTTTGAAGAAGTGGGAAGAACGGTTGCGGCGGTTAGAGAGCTTGAATTTGTCTTGTTTCATCAGTAATTGCTCGGTCTTTAAGACTACACAAACCGCATTTTGACATCTGCTACCGTTCGTCCAAAAAAAACGTGCAGTACTATTAGGACAACCTATGTACATACATTTTTTCAATCATAGAGTCTTACTTTAATCTCGGATTCTAATTTTTTATTTTCATCGAATTTCTTTTCTCCTTAGCGTAAAATTTAAACCCCGCAACACCACCATCTTGGTATGGTCTGCCCTTCTTTAGGTTAGGCTTAGTTCCGGTAGGTTTAAATTTGACTTCAGTCCAGGGGCGTCATTTTAAAATGGGGGCAGGACTGGCATTTGCCCGACCCTGCGCTTTGAAGTTGGGCAGAGGAAAACCACTCGTCTGCCGCATCCAGAGCGAGAAACTGGGGGGGGGGACCTAATAACTTTTTTGCCCGGTCCTGAAACAGCCTGAAATGGCGTCCATACCTAAGTCGTGTCAGCGTCACGCCTGCAGTGTAACACGAGATTTAATTACCTTATTTTGAGGGACAACTTAATTTTGTTTCGTTTTCGTTGTTGATTTTTCCTTGTCTTTCTCAATTTGACTAAATATTTTCTAAAGTGGTATTTTTCATACGACGCGACGAGTCAACTGAGCCGAGGGCTTAATGTCTCACACGAAACAGGAACAAAAAGCGCGAAATAGAGGCGGGAGGACCCTTTTTTTGTTGGCGTGAGGAACCCACGCTCGAGGTAATTACCTTATTTTTTGCGGTGCGATGATGTATTGAAGCCCAAGACAAGCTGCTCTCATATGACGGAGAGCGGTCGCGCGCTCAACCCACGCAAAAGCACACGGTTGCCGAAGGAGACAGGCAAATCCACCGATTACCTCTTCGATCAACGTGATATTTTTTAGGTTTGATTTAAAATTAGGCGACTCCGATCATCGGCGGGATAATTGGACTACATTTTGCAATTTGGAATTATAAATTCTAGCCCGGTTTAAAAATAACGTATGTGCCAGTAGTTTCCCTAAGCACATACGTGTTTTTCCAGAAGAGGCAGAATTTATAGTTCCAAATTGCAAAATGCAGTCCAATTTGTACCTCCTTCTCGCGTAATTATCGCGAGGGGCGAAAAAGAAAACGGCATCCAATGACAGGGCTCAATAAATCATATTCACTAATTTCACGCTTATCTTTGGTGGCATGGTGCACCCGATAAGATAATGGTCTCGCTTCGTTTTTGTTTTGCTTTATGGCTTCCATGTGAATAATTCAAATTGATCGGTTTTGAAACGAGGAATAGAAAAAAAAGCTTTGACTTTGTCTGATACTCGTATCAGACAAAGTCAAAGCTTCTCGGTGTGAAAATGTATGCAGCAGTTGCACACTGAGACAAAATGATGGTTATAATTACCATGATAGCGGTGTTCAAGATGATCTCATGATTAGTAGTTGCCATACCAATATTAGAGATATTTTTACCATTAAATGGTAATTTTACTACCGCACACCTGTAAAATTACGATTGCTCCGGTAAAAATATCGCTATTATCGGTTACAGCCACTACTGATTAAGAGTGTATATTGAACACCACTAATATGGTAAAATTATTATAACCATAATTTTTTCTCAGCGCAGAGATAAAATAACATCTACTTTGCTTTACGATTGTGGTGGAACACAGAAAAAGTGTCGCCTAACCCGGCTAGAATGCGGTGAGGACAGTCACGGGCGTGGAAAAACAAGCGAACTCAACTCGAGAGAACAACGGAATCATGCAGAATTTTACACGATTCACTTTATGAGCTTCAAGACAACTTGAATTTAAATTTTCAATAGACTTATTTTTCAAAGCTTTCATGACGATCACGTAACTGTGAAATTCTCATACAAATCGCTTTGTTTTTGAAAAAATAATCGATGAATATTATCAGGGGCATAATGGCAGGTAAAGCGAATCACCTCGCTATAATGAGGTTAATGTATATTCTCTGATGTGAGACGAGTTCATTTCCAAAAATCTTATTATGTAACTCAAGCTCTCTTATTGTTGTTGAAATGTATATAGCAAGGCTTTTTATGAATTAATTTAGGACAGGAATATCAACAGACGAGACGTCAAGAATGTTCGAAATTTATTTCAGAATGTTTCATGACCTTTTTCCATTAAAATCCTAGGTTTTGTTTCTCTCCACTCATTTAAAAATAAGAAATGAGACCTTTAAACCTTAAAATCAGTCGCGTTCGAGCATCGAAAATGGTCCGTACTGACCGAAACGCGTCTGAGGAAAAATAATTTAAAAAACGTGCAAGTGAGCAAACAATTTAACTTTTAACCATTTAAATGAAACCTTTGCGTGATTCAGATTTTTTTTGAATTGGTGTATTTTTAACTTTTCAGTCATTTTCAGATGCAGTGCGAGTAA